GCAAATAGACAAGATGAATTAAGTGTAAAGAATTGTCTTAGATCTTGTGCAAAATAAATCAATGTCATTTGTTTAAAAATGTCTGAGAGCCAATCGGTGAAGATAAAGGATGTGTACTCACCTGATAAGAGTCCCCTGGAAAAATAGAAGGGGCTTAATTTGAGGTCAGTCCTCCCTGAGAGTGAGCAGAGAAATGGCAGCAGCTTCTGATGGAGCCCTCTCTCCTCCGTCAGCCGTCTGGAGGCTCCACCAGCAGATGTCCAAGAAGGAAAAGCCTCTTTCTAAGTGGGAAGAGTCCTGTCAACCATCAGCTACTTAACATGGGGGGGCAGTTCCAAGTTCTCATTTTACCGTCAGATGGACTTCTTGCGAAAGTTCTGCCTCTGAGTTGATAGATTTCCCCCACTAAGACCCAGGCTTTGGAAATTAGATTTTTTTTTTTCCTCTGCATTCCTTTGGTCTGTCGATTTAATGTGTCTGTGGGCCAGTATGACTTCACAGCAGTTTTCCAGGTTGTGTGTGTGTGGGGGGGGGGGGGGGGGGGGGGGGTGTCTTTTATTTCATGCAGATTATAAACTCAGAGAGCAAATGAAAACTTTTATTTTTACGAGATTCCAAATTATTCCTAAAGAGACTAAAAGCTGAGTTTTTATTCTAACATTGTACTCAGTTAAAATGTGGAAAACTAATGGAAAAGTGTCTTTGTTCAGAGAGGCAGCACATCATCCATTCAACAGTGACGTCTCCTGACTCACAGGTTTGTTGCGCCCTCTAGTGTTCAATTTGAAGCATTGCTGCTTTTTCATTCAGCCTTTATTTATACAGCTTAGACTCATTGGACTCATTTTCAAGAGAGACCTGTTTCAGACAAACCACAGATAAGGTACACACAACAATAAACAGTCATAAAACGCATATTAAATAAATTTAAATAAAAGTAGTGATATATACACCTAATCCCTAATTGCTCCACGGGCGTTTACATAGCTGCCCACTGCTCCACCTGGGTGTATCCCAGGTGCAATGGGTTAAATACAGAGAACCAATTTCACCATTGTCTGGGAACATACAATGATGACAAGACATAGCACTTATTTTATCTTATAAAACAAAATAAAATCAAACTACATTATGAAACGAGGTAAAATATTAAAAACAGGAACAGGTCTGCGTTGATTTTTACATTGAACTTAACAGTTGTTTGAAATCCCTTAGAAAGATCAAAGTTGACATCTTCAGATCTTTTTGTACTGTGTTCCAGGTTACAAGAGCACCTGTATGAGGTGCGGTGAGCAAAAGAAAGAAAAGCCTTTTTTTGCCCAGTTCAGTTCGCACTGAGGGGACGCTGCAGGTAATTATGTCTAGAGAGTGCACTGCAACTGCATTGATGACGTGACATATGGAGACATATGAAGGCAGCAGACCAAGGAGTGATTTCAAGATGAAAATGTACCAGTGTGAGAGTCTGCGTGAAGTTAATGATGACCAACTGAATACAGGGTGCAGTGATGGTTATAGTAGTTACAGCCAGTTATGAATCTTAGTGCACCGTGATAGACAGTGTCCAACATCTGCAAGGTACAGGCAGGAGCATTCATGTAAATAATGTCACCGTAACCAATGGCCGGAAGAAAAGTAGCAGCCACAGGGCATTTCCTAGCATTTTGAGTTAGACAGGATATTTTTCTAAAAAAAGAAACCAAATTGCAATTTCAGTTTCTTTATGGTGACATGCGGCTTAAAAGAGAGATGCGTATTGACCAAGATACCCAAGTATTTGTAAGAATCCACAAACTCAATAAGCACATCATTCATAGATAATATAGGAGGAAGGACTGCTGGTACCAACTTCCTGTTTGAAAACAACATCCCTTTGGTTTTATCAGTATTTAGTACCAGTTTGAGACGGAACAAATCTGACTGGATGATGTCGAAAACAGACAGTAAAAGCTGGAAAACCTCATAGCGACTGTTCTAGCTCGACAATAAATAACAGTGTCGTCCGCATAGAAATGTAAGGATGCATCAGGAATGTTCTGACCTACATTACTTATGTAGATTGTAAAGAGAGTGCGTCCTAAGACTGAGCCTTGTGGTACACCATTATTGACAATTAAATACCTAGAAGTACCATTGTGTTGAACACATTGCTTTCGGCCTGAGAGATACAGCAATTAGAAAAACAACCGATAGTGTGGTCTGAGAAACCAATATCTGAGCTTATGATATAAGATGTCATGGTCTACAGTATAAGTATCAAGGTTCAAGGTTCTTTATTGTAATTTGCAGCACATGTCAATGGTAAATGTACTGTACTCATATGGTGCCTTTATCTTTATTAATCTATTTATCTTTATCTGAGTATCTTATCAAGATACTCAAAGCACTTCACACTTCAATCTGTGTCCTCATTTACCCATTCATACAGCACTCTACTCATAATCACTGCTTTATCACATTCATACGCCGATGGGAAACACATCGGAGGCAATGAGGGATTCAATGTCTGGCCCAGGGACACTTCGGCATGTGGCTGCTGGTGGAATCGAACCCCCCAACTCTTGAACTGGAGGACAACTGCTCTAACCACTCATCCACAGCCGCCATACATGTGGTACACGAGCTGGAACGAAATTGTGTACTCAAGGTCCCAGTTAAACCCAAAAATAGCAAAACTATAAAGTATAAAAAGAAACAGTATAGGATCTAAGATATACATTAAGATATACGCTAAACACGAATAATGTAAAATAATACAATATATTAAACAGCAGCATGAGTCTGTAGTGAGCAGATGGTATGAAACAGCAGCATAAAGGCAAAAGATCAGCAGCATGTATAATCAGCAGCACAGTGACATATCATATGATATCACATATAGTAATTAAAGTGGCACTACAGTGATTCTTTTTTTATTATTATTTTCCTTACAGTGATTATTCTGGTTATGGATTTATGAGTCTAACAGCTTCAGAGTATGTATTCACTTTTATGATTTATGAGAAAAAAATTACATATGCAACAAAAGTTTAGGTTTATATGGTGGTGAAATTTCACAATATATGTTTTTATTTGCAGTACATGAATGAAACAACCAAAGAATAAGGATTTTAAATATGAAATAGGTGCAACAAGCTTGAACTACAGATGACTTATATATGTATTTTTTAAATAGTCTAGCTCAACTGTTTCACAGTAAAAAAAAAATTGGACTTGATCTGTTTTTTCAGTTGTTTTTTATTCAAGAACATGATCGTGTTTTTAGATGATTGTTATTTTTATTAGATAAGCCACCTTACACTGACCTATGATTCATTCGGGTGTAAAAAGGACCCTAAAAGCAAGAAGTGGACCTGTTTTATGTTGATCGATAACCGAGAACAAAAGAAAAATCATTTATAATAACTATTGTTACCAGCAGCAAGTCACAGAAACACAAACGTATTTATATTTATTTAATTAACTTATTAAAAAAAAAAACTTAGCTAGACAAACAGAAAATAGTATTTTAGTATATTTATGAGATCACCGTGTCCAGAAGCATATCCCTCTTCTACAGAGACTTTTAGGGGAAAACTTTTTTTTGGTTAAGAATTAAAACCTGTAAGATATGAGTCTATTCTCCAACATACTCTGTTTTCTGGACCTCAAGCAACAACTAAAGGTGAATTACCATTTCCCAGTCATGTTATGGCATATGTTTTATATGATCCGTTTTCTTTCCCAACAGCATGTTTATAATTAAAGCGCTCTTCTCTGCTGGACCACAAATAAATCCTGCAACAAAGCAACTGCTTCCTCTGTGATTTATAAGCCGATGACGTCATGGCTCAAATAAAACTACAATCGTTTCTTGCACAATGCAATAACAATGATTTTAGAATATTTTGTAAACATAAGTCATTCAACTCCATAATTAAATTATGTCCCCAGAACTAGTAGAGTCACAACATGTCATACATACTTTAATGTATTTAAATGATCACGAATAAAATCAGCACTGAAATGTTTTGTCATTTACAAGCGGAAGATGAGCAAAAATAGTGAAAAATTACTCATGTCAGCTATCTTTAACAGCAACATTGTTTAAAAAAAACTAAATTAAAAGAATAAACATGTGTCAAACATGCTGAGATTATAAGAATTTAAAGCCACCTCCACCAATCAGAAACAAGTTTATATTTCCTTTCAGTTCGTCTGTGAGCTCTGAAGGTGATGATCCACCTGGAGAGCTGCTGAGAAAATAATAATTATTAAAAATGGCAACAAATGGTCCTTATACACAGATTTATACACAGTGAGGGTTTCAACAAGTTGACATTGAGCATTGATCGTGAACATTTCAGTTTCAGAGCCTGTAGGGAAAACAGTGACATCTGCTGGACACTAATGTGAACTGCAGCGGCACTAATGAGACGTTCACATTTTTGGGATGTTTTCTATTTCAGGTAAATTATATCCTCCAATTTTTAATTGTTTTGAAAGCACTTGTAAAAATACTTTATATAGAGCGAAAATATAAATAATTAAGTAAAGTAAAGTACTTTTTGTTGTTTATTTCTGGGAATATCTTGTCTTTGAAAGTCTACAAAAAATATCTATGACAATATTTTTAAATTCCTTAAAGCAGCCAGAAAATAATGAAAAAGTAACAGGAACACAAACTGTGTCAGAGTAGATGATCACCGAGAGGCTCCTATGATGAGGAAAAACATTGAAACTCGTGAAAACGTCTTCAGAAATGCTAATTATTGCTTTTATTATAATCAATTTGTTGGTCTGAATATTTGAATGACAGAAGCAATTTATATATATATATATATATATATATATATATTTTTTTTTTTTTTTTTTTTTTTTCCTGAAGACAAAATCAAACCAAACTAGAAGTAAATCCTCACCGCACTTAAAAAATATAAATTAAAAAAATTGTTACGCAGACAAAAACAATTACATTTTTTTTATTGACAATTATGCAAATTAAATAAAATTCCTGTTGAAAAAAATAACACTGGGAACAATCTTAGAAGGGGAAAAAAACGTAAACCAGCAATTCCACTGTAACAAACTGTGCCTTTAAAACATCCTCATCCTCTTGGACTTCATGATCTGCGAGTGTACGATGAATTGTAAGAGTTTTAGTTCGAATAAGCAACAGATGGACCGACTTTCTGCTTTCTAATCCGAGTCTCGGCCTTCCGCCTGAGAGATAATTGTGACTGACGTAACTGTGCCGTGCTCTGGAGCTGTTCAGTCCCACACATTTAAAAAAAAGCAACATTGATACAACTTTGGATCCAGTGACTCAGAGCGGCGAAGCGCTTTCTTTAAAAATTCATGAAGACTAAAAACAGGTAAACGAGTTGGATGCATGTGACAATAAAAGACCTCGCATGAAGGTTTGTGTGCTTTTCAACATAAACACAATGTTTAGTGCAAAAATAAATTTTGCAATTAAAAAAAATAAGATTGTCACTTGTTCTCCTCGTTAAAAACTCCAGTCAACACACACATACACACGCACACACATTTTAAAGCTTTTGTTGCCCAGCAGAAGGCTGAAGTCTTGAAGCACATGGGTAGTAACTCCCGCGCAGGGAGCTGGTGCATCGGCTGCTAGTTTCCCTCAGACCTGCTACATTTTTACATTTCTTAAGAAAGATAAAAACTAACGACGCCCTTTTTGTCCCATCAAACGTAACTCGTGGTTCTCACATCTGTAATTTATATCAAACATCCACCACAAACTTTCTGTAACACAAACACACGACCAACAGAGAACGGGTCAACACTAAAGAACTGGAAAACAGACCGACTGTAACAAACATGAAGCAACTGCATGTGCCTCGTAAAAAAAAAAAGGGTTTCTACTAGTTTGTATTGCTTTGGCCTGTTCTGTGAGCCATCAGCTCGTGTTGTCCTCCTCTGGACGTGTGTGCAGGTCCACCACAGGTCCACAGGTCTGAGACGGTACAGGGACGTGGCAGCAGGAAGGAGGTAGGAAACCATAATGATGACACCAGCGTCAGTTTTTGTTTCCACACAGTTTCTTCCTCGTCTTTCCCTGGTTTTCCCTTCTCGGTAGAGGCTTCGTGTTAAAAGCCCAAAGTGTCGTTTTGTGCAGTCAAGTCTTCGTCGTCTTGGTCCCATTGGACTGGGGCGGGCAGGCACTCTTCTTTGTTGAAGTCCTGAGGGTTTACCCCAATGTCCAGGACCTGGGGGTTAGTGCGAGACTCAGCGAGTCTAAGAGAGCAAAGAAAAACAGGAAAACTTTATTGTTGAAACGATTCAACACAAACCGGTTACGGTTGATCCAGTTCACACATGAAACATGACGGGTACGGTGTTGATTTAATGCATGAACATAAAAATGGATGGAAAGAAAAACAGGTACAAACGGCCGAGCTAAAACTAACCATGACAGTCCACGATGAGTTCATGCCATCATACAGTACACAAAGGCTCCTTTTACACAGTAAACACACCACATCTCACATTCAGAGTGCAAAGCTGATGGGTGTGACACTGACAAAGCTAAATATCTGTGAAGACATGGTGGATGATGAACTGAAGGAGAATTTTGTTGAACTTTGAAACAGTTAAGAGATCATTTATTCCCCTAATTGTGTCTAAGAGTCAGCTGGAAAGAGTTTCTATGTTAATGTTTGCTACTCTACGTGTTTACTGAACACCGAGACCCACACAGACGAGCAGGCTTGAACTGTGGCTTGACGTGGCGGGAATGAAGTGGAAGTCGTAATATCCGGTGAATGATATTCAGATTGTTACCTGAGTAGGACTCAAAGCTATCCAGACTGCGGCTGAGGGTGCAAAGAAAACATCACAAATCAGCTCAAAACTCTGAAGTGCCTCGTCACAACGTAAACGGGTACATTTCTGTGGCCACAGTGTGACTTTGCTTTAAAATCTCTACCTAAAAGAACTCCTTTTGTCCTCAAAATACATAATCAGCTACAAATGACTAACAGCAGATGGCAGCGAAGACTCAAATGGGAGCAAATGTGATTCTGTAGCATTTGCAGAGGAATCTTTTGTTTATGATTCATGATGAAAAGGTTCATCGTAGAGAAACAAAACATATTTTTTAAATCTAGTTTTAAAAAGCACAAACAAAAAGAGTTTGCTGTCTTGATACAAATATTAACTACACGACTTTCATGGTCCTAATATTAATAATTAAGCTACCTCAAAACTAAATACAGCAATTAAGGATTTTATGAGCAATCCATTAATCTGTATCAGATTTAAATCCTCACATAAAGCTATAACACACATATTAACCATTGATCAACAGTGGGACTATCTTTAATGTTCTCTTCCTTTCTGAGCTCAACATCAACAAACACAATCGGCCTCTAACAGACGTCGAACCGCTCGTCTCTGCAAACGCTACGGAGCATCGTCATTAATCAGAGAGCGGGAGTTCCAAGTCTAATTACAGTCTGCGCAGACAAATAATTGTTGGAGAACACGTCCAAAATGGCCTCTTGGTGCTTGATTACAAAGTCTGTGGAGCCGGTTGCCCCTGCGCTCAGTGAAAGTGAGAGAATAAAAACGAGAGGCAGGGCCAGAGGAAAATATCCAGTAATAAAGAGCTGGATGAGTCTGTGTGGCAGTCCAAAGCAAACGGAGCAACCTGACAGCAGAGCAACGGGTTTAACTGACTGACCGCAGTCAACGTTGGGTTGGTTATCCTGTTGGCTGCACAACGATGGAAGATTTGAGATGCACAAACTCTAAACCTGTTTTTCTTATTCCACCAGAATAATAACACCATGCTCGCTCAACGTGGCAAAGCTTGTAATCAGAGGCTGTTTGTGGTCCTCGCATAATGGCACACAGATCCTAGAAATGCAGCGTGACTCGGGTCAGGCGTCAGCTACACCAGAGCCTGTAAGCTGAGCCCGTCTCCTGTCTGCTGCTTTACTGCACCGAACCGAGCCAGAGGACAAACAGGATTATTTATGGGTCTATTTTACTCCCAGAATAGAAGCTGGTGTGGCCGTTTTAGTCCAGACTTGCAGGAAAAATCCAAATTCCACAACTGTCCTCACCTTGAGAAAGCCTCGTCCAGACCGTCCTCCAGCTCCTGCCACACAGAAAGCACATCAAATATGTTTTACACCGTGAGAACAGTCATTTGTAGCTCTTTCCTTTAAATGATCTTAGAAGTTATGCCCGTCCTTGACATGTAATCTTTAGATAAGGTCCGTTGTGCTCAATAGGCTTTTGTCTACATTGCTGTGGCAGCACAGTAACAGGTGCAGTACATTTATTCAGCGTTTCCTCACAGCATTCTCCACTTTTCTCCTCATCGAGGCCGAACAGATGAAATGTACTGTCCAGACAGACTCTCGTCTTACCCACACGGTGTTGTTGTTCTCTGCTGCGTGATTGTGCACCGCAAAGGGTTCAGAGTCCGTCTGCTTCGTTCCTGAGCGGGCCAGTGCTGCGTTAGCTCCCTCTGCGAAGTCCAGGAGGGTTTCTGTGGCTACATCTAAAAACCAAAAGAGAAACCGGCGGTTTACTTTGCACAACTGCCACAGAGCTACCCTCAGATTAATAACGTGAACGTATAGAGCCGTTACCCCTGTAATGTCTGTCGTCAAGTCAACCATCTCACGTCATAAAGCAGCACAGAGTAACCTCCTGTGACATCTCCAGGCTTTAGTGAGATTGGTTTCTAATGATCTCACTGATGATTAATGCATGTGAACACAGGTCAAATGTGCAGGTCAGGGTATTTTTAATATCCGCATCCACTGGATCCAATTGGAGACGATCTGTTGAGCTCCAACGGCAAAAATACACCTGCTGCTGCGAGGCGAGGTCAGAACTGGGACATCACCAAGTCATCTTTTTCTTCGCGCGAGACCATTTACACCGAGTGAGTAAATATTAACTCGAACATGCAGAATATTGAGCATTCTGTATGTTTTTGAGAGAACATGAAAGATACTTTGAAAAGATTTCCAATTTTAATCAGACAAGACTAAAATAACGACAACACCTTTTTTTTCCCCCCAGCAGAAGAAACCTCCCATCGGTTGGAGCAATACAGGAAGTGGCAGCGGGAGAGAATTGAAGGGATCATGTCACGTCCATAAAGCTGACTCACTGTTCACAGCTCCACTAATCCTGAAGGACTTTCCATTTGTGTGACATGCCATTTGATCAGCCACAGCATGAACGTAACCTTATGAGAGCTCTAAAGCTCTGCCCTCTCCAATCTCCACTTTAGCTGAGGATTACCTTTTCCAAAAAGCACTCAAAAGCTTCCATTACTTATGCAATTATGCCAATTTGCCTTTAGGAAATCCAATCCACTGGCAGCTAAATGACCCACTGGGTCCAAACGCGTTGACACAGAGCACGATCTGAGTCCAAGTCCTTCTCAGGAGATCATCCTGAAAACCTACGCACTGTGAAACACTAAACATTCAGAGCCACAGACTCAGAAAGTGTCAGAGGAGATTCAGAAGAAACAAAAAAAGATATCCCTCTCTGGCTGGAGTCCACCTGGCTGAGCAGAAGGAGAAGCTCTCTACAAAGAAATATCCAACTCTCCCAAACAAATCAAAAAAAGGCGTTTTGAAAAAAGAGCAAAGTGGACGTTTAGAATATCACTTGTGCTTCTCATCGTATACATTTTTAAATTTGAGACGATACTAAAAATGTCGGAAGTTTGCCTGGATCAGTGGATGTTTATGAATCTGTTCAAACAAACGTTTTGTTAAACAATGTGGGCCGTAATTGTGTTTCCATAATGTGATTTCACAGTGTGAGATTAGTTCTGTTGTTGAAGAATGTTAAGGGAATTATTGAAGAAAGATTCATTATTATTGGATCACAGCACTGCCGCTGGCTTTAATGGTTCCAGTTTAAGGAGACCGTCATCAGTAGACTCGTGCATATTTACCTCGGTATGTCATTTGTGATGATGGCGGTGAAACATTAATACAGCGAGCGTCCAGACTGAAGTGCAGCTTTAATACAAGAGACTGAACACTCTCCATGCCCCTGAGGCTACGATTGGTGTGACAGAGAGGGAGGAAAAGATGTGGTGACGGGTGACGTGACTCACCTCCTCCCTTCAGGCTGCCCACGCTGACCGAGCTGTCCGACTGAGGGTTGCAGGCTCCTTCCCTATCCGACCCTGTCTTTACTCGCTTCTCTTTCTCTGTGATCAAGAGAGCAGCACAAAGACAAAATAAAAGAAGGTGGTGAAGATAACTACCTTTGCATTGTTCAAAGTGCTGGTTTTTTTCTAGCAGCTAAAATGAAGAGCATTAAGGAAGAAGAGGGTAAAGGCAATGGATGGATGGATGGATGAACAAATAATAAAACCAGCAGCATTTTGGCAGATGAGGCCGTTCATCGAGCTGCTAGTCAGCTAAAACCCACAGCGTGCTTCGTGCAGTGGTTAGGGCAGCGTTCAAACAGAGTGACATCTGGGTCAGAGGTGATAGGAGGCTTTGCTCGCTCCGTTATGTTGAGTTGGTTTACAAAAAACGTGCACGTCAGCCACGGCGGGCGACAACAGCCGTCATTCGACTTCCTGCACAGATCCAGTACCCAGCAGAGCACATTCAGGGCCTGTACCATAGTTTTTTTGTTTTTTTTTTACTACAAGTCGCATTAAGCGAAACAAAACAGTCAGACAAGTCAAACTTTATTCAACTCATTCACAATAACTCTCCACATTGTTCAGTTGTAACACATAAAATCGGTTCAAGGTCAGTAAGCACAACCAGAATTCATACATAAGGCTCACTGTCGATTCTTGAGAAAATTAAAGGATTTTAAGTGCGCCTTATAGTCCGAAAAATACGGTATTTATCAAACTTCTCCTAAATTATACCCAGTGAGGAGGAAGTTGGGACTTTTTCCTCAAACTTGAACCCAGACTCATTTACAAATCATGCTATGATCATATTTAGCGTGGATTAAATTCAGAGATTGTTTGTCGTTCGCACCACATGTGGTACATGAGGTGGAATTAAATTATGTACCCAGTTACAACCAACAATAAAATGTAAAAAAAAGTAATATGATCTAAGATATGAACCAAGAAAAACAAACTAAATATGCACTAAGCACTAGTAGCATAAAAACAATACGCCCAACAGCAGCACAAACATGAGTCTGTGTGAGCAGATGAGCACAGCAATATGAAACAGATCAGCAGATCAGATTACAGCAGATTACAAAGCGCATGAGCATTTTACAAATTTGAATAGTTACTTCACTGATTGTTGGGTTTGCTACATCATGACTGATGCCTTTTCTGTGGAATGTGGTAAACTTTAAGAGGAATGAAGTTTTGATGTGGATTACGTTTGCATTTCTGTAACTTAAAACCGTAATCCCACCCGCCGCTGAAGGTAAAAGGCCAGTATGAAGGTGTAGTAGTTGAACACATTCTTTGAGCACGACACATTGCGTGACATCTTTGGCTTTAAATCACTTATTGCACAAGTTTTTTTTTTATTACGTCAAAAGTGAAGCTGAAGAAAAAAATTCCACCTCAGTTCATCCTGAAGGGACTAGATACAGCAGATAAACATTGTTTTTAATTTCATCACAATTCTTGGTCTGGAAAAAAAAAAATCCAATTTCCCATGAGTCCTGGTAGCTTAGTGATGGGAGAGCAACAAAAAAAAATTTCCCCAGGCACCTTTTAGAGTTCTCCTGCTCCTCCTAAACATGGAACCAACTGAAACATATTCCAGTTCGCAGCTTGCTGCAGTGTTTACAGAGAATATTCTACAAAAAAACAGAGCTGGGTGCTGTAATATGCAGAGAAATGTGGGTCAGGCAGAACCACAGTGGGTGGTGAGAGACACAGTGGATCGCATCTTCCTGCAGTAATCCTGAAGGGACTTGTAACTTTCATGAAACAGACAGAAAATATTTTCTTTTCTCTTTTTCTTTAGTGTCTAAAGGGAACACCTGCACATCTAAAGATGAGAAAGGAATCTCTTATACAAACCACTACATGAGCTTAAAGCTAATCTTGTCAAATTAAATCAAATCTGTTACTTCGCCCACCTAAAAATCTCAAGGAGAAAAAGTGTTGAGAGCAGAAAAATGACAAGATGCTCGATAAGATAAAAAAACTGTCAGTAGTAAATTGCTTTTGAGTATTGAAAGATTAAATAAAAGCTTATGAAGAGACGCAAGATGACAAATCTATTGCTTTTAAAGTGGAAACGTGTTCGCAATAGAACGCCCCAAAGAAACGGGACAAAATGAAACAAGGTGGTTCTTTTTTCTGCACCAGGGCTGCATGCATAAGCACATCATGTGACACAGGATCAATGACAGCGACATCGAATCTGTGAGTGAGGCGAGCTTCCACACAATCATTGTCCTTTCCTCTCAACACATTCACCATTCCACCACCCCTCTGTGCCTACCCAGCCTTATACACTTTCTTGCCCCCATCCCCCCCCGTTGCCCCCCCCCCCCCTCATCTTCGGTCCTCACAATGAGCAGAAGCGAGTGCAGGGTGTGAAGATGAAGAAAAGGGAGAAAGAGGGCAGCAGGTGCGAAACAAAGCAGGGAGCAAATGGAAAATCGTGGAATGGAAAAGACCACCAACACATATAAAGATAAACTACTGTAAATGCTTCTTTTTGGGGGGGAGGGGGGTTTAATGCAAAAACTTATACTGTAACCTGCTTAGACACATTGGAGTCATGCATGCAGTAAATTATATGGGAGCTCAACTGAGCTTTACAGAAGTGTGAGCTGCTCGAGTTAAGACAATTATTACACAGCACTTTTGTCTGCTGTGTTTAAAAAACATACAACTTAACATTTATCTGGTATAAAAATGATGAAAATATTAAAATAGATGAAAGACTGACATAATAAGAAATAAATACGCGAGGAGTGAAAAGCAGGTGAAGAATGCGATAAAGAGAACAAATATTTTGCACACGTCTGAGTTCAGAAGATTTCCTCCAGTAAGAGGAGTCCCTGAACCCGTCTAAAACACAGGTGACTGCTATGGTGGCTGTAATAAAGAAGCGTTACTAAACTGAAACGGGTCACTCTGATTGATGGGTTAACCACCGCGGCTGTAACTGTGTAAACAGCAACTAGTCTCTTGTTACTTCTCATGACCTCTCAAATAGACGTTGAAGTTCAAATCAGCAAGACGCAAGAATTTTTGTGTTTTTGTGTTGATGGGTCACGATCAAAAGACAAAAGAAGGAAGATAAAAGATGCGTACAGTAATGAGAAAAAAGCACCAGCAGGTTGATGCTCATCTGTCACACACAAATTGTCAGGAGCAACCGTGCGTACCTTCCTTGGAAGCCTGCCAGAACTCAAATGCCACTCTGAAAGCCTGAGCCACCGTCAGGGTTACTGCCTGCGCCTGTTAGGAGACAGACAAGACAGAAAACACAGAGGGATGAATAATACCCGCATGAATCCCGTCAACAGGAAGGAAGAATCCAGGAAGGCAAGGGGGCTGTTGCTCGGACACAAACAGGAAGCGACCGCAAACGCGAGAAGTTTCTTTTTGGCATCCTTGAAGAAAGGGAGGAGAAACCAGTGGAGTTTACGATGAGCTGTTTATGTAGCTGCGAGAATACGTGGCCTTTTGGCCACAACTAAATTAGTGAGAGGAAGGAAGGAGAGGGAGTGGCTCGCTCATTCAGAAAACCTCCAGGGATGTGAGAATGCCAAGAGAGGGATCCGAGCCTCCACACCCTCCAGCCTCCTTTCTTTCTCCTGACAATACATTCACAGGTTTGCATATAGAACGGTGCTTAGTCGTGTATAAAGTGCTTTTCAATGACGGCAAGGAGCACAAATGGAACACTGTTACATGTGCACCTTCACCAATACGCATTTTTTCCACCTTTGTAAGTCTTTTTGCAACTAGAACAAACTCGTGGTCCTCCTGCACAACACAAAACTTGATTTTAACCATTTGTCTTATTACTATCAGGGAAAGGGCTTCAGTTTTCATACTGAGGCTTCAAAATGGTAAACTATCCTGATGGGCAGAAAATGTCCTTACTTCAATTGGGTCTTTACTCATTCGATTCACAGACAGGATGTGTGTTTGTTTATTTTATACGATTATTAATTAGACTATTTTCTTTAAACTTCTGCACGTTTAATTGCAAAACTTCATTACTCACCATCTTTTTCTTTGAGCAGAGGAAGGCATGGCACTGGAGAGTCTCGTTGTGTTGACTCTGGACAATGTAGGCAAACACTTTGTCGTGCATCTTGTCCGCAGTGCAGTACGATATTCTAAAACAAACAGACACCCAGTTTAATTACAAATCTAATTATTTAGGAAATAATTACAGATAAGGCAAATATCAAATCATAGCTCAGACTGGACCTCGCCTCTGTAAGGGACTCGCACACAGAGATGACGGTGTCATGACGGGTTATCTTCATGTCATGTGGAAGTTATTAATCCTGCTCGTCCGTCTCAGGTGCAGGGGAAGCTTTAAATCAACATGTAATGTTCTGCAAATGGCTTTTATCCATCATCTGACCGTCATGTCTTTAATACCAAAGCAATGAGCGCACTGGGCGGGTGGGGTGAGACAGGCAAAATGATGCAGGAAGATGAAAATGAATGCCTGCCGTGTGTCCTTTCTTTGTCCTTCCTTCAACGCTGTGCACTCTAACGTCAAACAAATAGATCAAATATATAGTTTGGAGAGGAGTCCCAGCTGTGGTCAGAACGCAACCACGATTTACAGCAAATGTTTGGTTGGGAGGGCAGTGAGGGAAATTTGATGTCCAGACAAATCCAATCTTTCTGTCTTCTTAACAGATGTTTATGGAGCAGAGGTGTGCTGGGGTTCAAGATACAAGCAGCTCCCCTATTTTTCTCTAACATATTAAGCTCACAGCTGGACTCAGTTCACACAGTCTGCTTTTTAGTTCTAATTTAAAAATGCTATACAGTAGACCCTCGTTTATCGCGGGGGATCCGTACCCCGAAGACCCGTGATAAGTGGAAAAACTGCAAAACTCCTGCTTCTCTTTGCCACCTGCAAGCGCGCTTGGCTACGCCCACTTCTCCGCTCTGCACAGTGAACAGCTGATCAGCTGCAGCAGGAAGTGTATACTGCAGTGTGTGCAGCAGGTGCTAAATAATTTTAAATAATTCATTTTAAATAAAAAATGACACGCCGATCGTGCGGTTCATCCATCAATCAGCCAGTTGTGTGTCATGTACAACCTTAGTTTGAAAAACTGCGATAAACGAACCGCGAAGTAGCGAGGGACTATTTGCAGGGAAATACAGGGAAAAAACATGGGTGCATTTGATACTTTTGGACACACAAGATAAAAAGCTGATCAGATAAAAGAGGTAAAGGTGGGCTGTTTTTGCATAAACAAATAAATAAATGAATGAATGAATGAATGAATGAATGAATGAATGAATGAATGAATGAATGCAGTTATTTTTTTCTTGCAGGCTTATTGAATTGTGTTTACAACCAAGTGACCAGCAAGAGTTGCACCCATATTTGAAACATTAAAACTTTGAAAATTCCAGATGATTTTTGTGTGCACGGCTTGAAAAACTGTATTCTACACGTGCACGTTAAAATGTTGTTCACCTCCGCCCACCTCAGCTTGCTTTGTATCCGCTATGACAGCCACCCACAAATTTATGATTGAATGCACTGGAGTGCACTTTTTGAAATGAAGATAGATTTTAACCTGTTTTTCGACTATTACTCTTTTTCTCCGAACAGAGTTTTTAGACCTGGGCACGGACTTGAACGTTTTTCTGTCAGAGGAGAACACGACGCATGCACGCGTCAACATACAGGTACAGGTCTAGATCTCTTGAGACTAATTTGAGATACTTGTGGCAACTCTGTGTCTATTTGGAGAGAAAAATTGTTGCACAAACATGTTCAAAATTGAAGTGACAAGATTGTGAGCCTCTGTGACTCACAAGGAAACTAAGAAACCTGTAAATGTTTGACAACTAGAAAACAATTTCATCTCAGAAAGATATTACCGTTAAAGAATTAGTCTAGAGGCTTTAAACTCTAAAAGTTAGGTTAAGATTAATGCCAAAAGGGATACTACGTGAGGCTGAAACGACAAATAATTATCAGTTTATGAAATTGATACGACAGATTTCGGTCCCATCCCATACAGGCACATGTAATGTGCACTGCACAGAGATAGATTTTTATTTCTGCTCCATTTTATGAACTGTCATGTGCTCAGTTTTTTGAAATTTGCACAAATCTTTGTACATCGTTTTATTTTTTTCTCCAAGCAATCCAGTTGCAGCTGTTTGTGAATGCACAGGAGCTGCTCAAGTAAAAATAATAACAATTCTGAGTATTTGTGGTGGGGTTTTCAAATAGCTAATCAGAAAAAAAACCTATGCAAATTGCAAAAAGGGTTTAGATAAACAAGTGTTTGACATTTTAACAATAATCTAAAGCAATGATCAGAATCTGCTTGGAAGTACTTCAGTTTGCAGAAGCACGTCTGATCAGCGTTTCACTTTTGTCATCGTCACTTCTTCCTTTTTTTGAAAGACCTTTGTGAAAATGTTCACGTGGAAAAAAGTGCAACGTTGCCCACTTTGAATACACTGTAATAGAACAATGATTTATGTAAAATAAATAATTACCGAAACCTTTCTTGCACAATCAAGAAGCAGATGCTTACTGATAGCTTTCCTGTAAAACAGCCGAGCAGCTCCAGTTAGCTCAAGAAGACCAGAAATATATGGAGAGGAACGTCAATTTGTCGGTCAATAAGTTCAGAAAACCGCCACCAAACCAACCCTGGTCCTAAAGCTGCAGGCTTTTATGGACATATTTCACATAAGCCTAGTTATACTTGTGAAACTGATGGAAAGTCCCATCTCTCTTTGATATGCACACTCATGAATGTGGAATTTAAGAAAACTAATTCAAGCTTGGATCATAAGCGCTGGGCCAGCAGAAGTGAGACAAGCCTGCACGTTGAGGCAGGAAAGACGGATCTGTAGGTATTAACTAAAAGACAAATGTGCGAGTGTGTGAAACCTGAGGTCAAAGCTCAGACATACATCTGTCGTGGTGCGCTCAGGAGAGCTACAATTTATGAGACAAACTGGCGTGTTTCCCCTTCCTCCCACCGATACAGAAAGACGCTGCCCACCCTGGTGTACCACACATCCACCACATGATAAATGGAAGGAAGACAAAAAATAACTTGTTTTACCGTGGAAGATCAGAACACTTTGAACGAACATCCAGGTGGCTCAATTTGACAGGGACAACACGAGGAGGTAAAGGAGGAGGGCTGACCTGTATATGGAGACATTTTCTATCAGCTGGTTTGAGGCACTGTCGTAAAGGATGATTCCACGAGGGGAGACTGTTAACGTGACTTTCTGGAGTTTTTTCCCACTGGCTTTGGCCTGGGAAGAAGGGAAAAAGACAAACACATAAGCAACTGTGTGGGGAAAACAACAAACAAATTGGTCCTTGTGTTTATGTAAATCTGATTAATACGTTTTAATCTGACTATGCAATCAAAAGCCACCACTGAGATGACAGAGGCATACCAAGCGTTGTAAATCAAAGTAAATTACCATCAAACCTGCCTTTCGGCTTAATCCAGGAGTCAAAACTACAAATAAAAGATTAAGAGTTGAATGATTAACTCTAGAAAAAAAAGTCTAAAATTGCACTCAAAATGAAAGAAAACATATCAGTTTGGTTTTAATCCTTTTCAGAGTGGCGCTGACAGATTATAGAGCAAATCAGAGCTTTTTTTTTTTTTTTTTTTTACTGCTGCTACTTCATTAACCACCGAGCTGCCAGATCCAATAACATTAAGCCTTTTCTAGCATGATAAAGCCGGCAGCGCCATACAGAGTAACATTGTTCACACTAACCTCTTCTAAAATGTCAACCAGAACTTTGAGCGGGGGGGGGGGGGGGGGAGGGGGGGGGGGTGTCAGTCGGGTTATAAAAGGAGAGTAGTGGATGACTTTTGAGTGGCAAAGGTGATGATGTGGAGAAAATATAAATGATCGACAGAAACCCATTTTCTGCGGCAAGTTATTTTAATAAAAGGACCATTAAAAAAAAATTTGAGTGTGCTGTTCAAGCCACTTCAGTCTGTGTGTGTGTGTGTGAGAGTGTGTGTGTGTGTGTCGTCTCTCACCGTGGCCACTATCCGCTTGACAGCCGCCGCAGACTGCTCCTCGCCTTTGGGCTGCTCAACCATCGTCACCCCGAGGTATTTGAGGTGAAACGTCATGCCCTCCAGCAGGGTCTCCCTCGTGTCCGTCCAGTTTTCTGGAAGCTCTGCAGAAACACACACACACACACCAGTGACCCTTGTGTTCACCAACAGCCCTGCAGGCTGGAAGTCCTTCAGACATGTCAGGGCAGCAATTCAGTTCACTTGAAGGGAATTAAGACTTGAAGGTAAGCCAACGCTTTGCAACAAAGAGGTGACAATTCACTCCTATCGCTCCTTTGTTACATTTTAATTAACTCCCCAAATCACATTTCAGCCTATTTGAACAATTCCTATGAAATAAACATTAGGCACTTTTGAACAATTAGTTTTAACTCCTCACTAGATTATTTTCCTGCAAATGACGGCAACGTTCCCCAAAGCCAACTTTAGATTAAATTAATTTTCCAATCGTTTGCATACCAACACATTTACAGAACGTTAAAATAATGAAAGGAACTTAATCAGGAATTTCACTATTTTTGTCTTCCAAAGAGCAAAGTTACTATTCTAAACCTACGGAGGTGAACGCTGCTGAGATGTTGATATCACCCTTTCTACAACCTTTCTAGGAGTTCAGAGGAAATGACTAGAAGGCACGGACAGGTGACAGCAGCTTTTCAATGTTAGACGTATTTATGAAAGCATAAATTATTCAAAACTGGTTGTTCGAGTCCATTCGCTTCAGTTCATTTCAAAAGTTTATGGACTTGTCACGATGTCGTGTGATTGAGCGTGAGGGTCCAGACAACCATTCGTCTCCTCACTTCATATATCAGGAAATGTAAAAACACCACCACCTGCCAACCTGAGTGGACTTTATGGAAACTCCAGATCTTCAAGGTGATTTAAATAATGGCACCATTGACTCCGTTTTTTTTTTATTATTATTGTTAGAAAAGTGTGCAGCCAAGTGTGAACAGAAACATTCCTGAACATAAAGTAATAAGTGACAAGTTCCTTTTCTTGCAATATTTAGCTCTTTTTGATCTTTGACATTTCACAATAATTGAGATTTCTGAACAGTTTGACAGATAAAAAGTGGAAAGAAAACATGAAAATGTCTTCTTTTGTCTCTGAGATGGACCTTTTTTAAGTCATTTTATGAACTAAACAACTTTTTTTTTTTTATCAGTAATGTATGATTTAAGTGCCATGAATAATATATTTATGGAAACTTTTTGCTTGAGTGCTTCGATTGTCTTTCATTACATATTTTTTTTGTTTGTAGTCATGAACTAAGTCAATTTTCTGAAAAGTCAAAGCTTCAACTTTCACCACGCAAACTGAATTTGCACTTTGGAAGCTTTATTGTGTCAAAATGCATTTTAAAATAGACTGCATTCTGTATGCATTAAAAAAAACATAAAATTTATCTGAACATTCATAAATGTTTGTGTCTGAAGGAGCTACTTGCTCAAATGTTGGATACAGCATTTTAAAAGCCATTCTGATGCATATAGTGAACGCTGCAGATGCATCATCCATCCATCCATCCATCCATCCATTATCTTTACCCGTTTATTCATCTAGAGAACAGAAAACATTCAAAAGTGGCAGCAGAGCCTTACTTATAATATTCATGTATTCTAAAGCCAAACCAAGCCAACTGTTAGTGGTTATCATGGCTGGTTTTTAATGATCTAAATGAAGCTGTAAGTGAACCCACATTTGTGTAATGAACGAGTCTGACAGTAAACACCCACTATAAGGTCAAGGCCTTTAAGGCTGCAAGTTTAGAGAACAGACTGAGCTTTTTGGATCCTGCAGTTACAGCCAGGATGAGTCTCTCATGCTGCAACAGAACCTGTGGTGGAGGATCACTAATACTGTGTGGACTAAAAACACTCGTGACGAGAACAAGCCTCTCCAGACAAGTACGACGTGGTTCAACCTTAGATGGGATATTTAACCGTTGCTGCGTGCTTGTTGTGTTTGCAGAACAGATGGTGAACCGTCAGTGAACTGAACATTTTTACTGTTGACAAAAGGCGATGATGATGCAGCCGGGTTTGCTCTGGGGAATTTCAACATACAGACAGAAGCGCTTTGGAACTGCTTTGCGGTCAATCTACAGCACGCAGAGCAGAAGCAGCCAGCTTTCTTGATCCACCAGAGATCGCAAAAGCGAAACACTTCTGCCCCAACTAAAACAACAAGCGGCCGAGTTGTAAAGTACAACAGCTTTTTTATTTTTAAACTTTAATAATGATCATTCAACTCGTGAACATGAGCTATTTTTAGACTGGCGCATAAACCCACAGTTCTACTGAGCTGTAATAATCCAATTTCATACTGGTCACGTTTGCATTCACCAACTACCCCATCCTCCACGATCACCAGTGGCTCCCACTGCAGCAGCTTCCTGCAGCTAGAGAACTTCAAAGGCTCCTGTGCTGGGCTTCGGCTGGTCAGGACCGGCTGCTTCTTTTTTTTTTTTTTTTTAAGGGAACAAACAGGTGAGTACACACATGACTGTAAAAAGAAAAAAGTGGTTCAAATGTCCAAATTGACAGTCCGTCTTGTTCTGGTTTCTCTGAGTCCCATTAGAGCTTTACACACACGTTCCTGACCTTGCGTTCTAAAATATATAATGAAACCAACAATCCTTAAAGGAATGCATGTCCCCCACCACTTCACATGCCAGAAAAGATCTTGCGTGAGCTGGTTGTGCTCAGGTTTCTTGTGTAATTTTAGAACATTTTTAACATGTTAGTTTGATTGTGTTGGGACCAAATTATGTCAAATTATGTGGTTTTCTTTGCAAAGCTGATGTTTTTAAGGGGTACATTTTCTGCAGCCTGTCTTTGATGGGGCTTTTGAAGTGCATGAGAGTGTCGTAGAGCGTTTAACACTTTTCACGTTCTTAAAAGCCGTGGCATTTCACAACGCTTCATTATTAAAACCATCCAAAAAGGAAGTCGTTTGCACAACAAGACGTCTCGCTAAAAATATGAAAATGAGCAACAGGCATTTCCATTTGTTGTTTTTTTTTCTTCTGCCCTCATTCTGGATGGATTGTGGGTATTAACGTTTATAAAATGTTGTATTACAACATATGCAGTTAAGCCAAAATGTACTTTCACCTACTTTTTACCCGTTTCTTCTGACAATTACGCTGTAACAGACGAAAACTTCCTGATCTTGTTGTCTTTCCTTTAATATTCAATTGAGACTAAGCTTATTCCCAGACTTTGCATTAAATTTTAATGAAGATAAAACTACAGAGAGAATCGGATTCTTTTGATGCAACAAGTTATTTGAAAGGGAGGAGGTTTGGGGATATATTATCAAAAGGATTTCAGCAAAGAGACTGGGTAGAATTAGAAAAGAAGGGCTGGAAAACGTTGTGGTTTTGGTGGGTGATTTAGTCAAAGCCAAAAGGAGGAACCTTTTTCTAGTGGTGTGAAGAGGAAAAATCAGTAATGAGGAAAGAAGAGCTGCTCTTTCAGGTCTCAGTGCTGCTTTACACGACAAGTCAAGAGGGAGAGAGAAAAAAGGCAATCACACATAAAAGAGGAACGATAAATCAGCGGAAATAATATGAAAAACGTTCAATGAAAGCAGAAAGACAAAACTGATCGCTGTAAAGCAAAATTATTTTTGCTAAACCACTGTAACATGCGAGTTTAATTACTTGGGAAAAAGCAGGAGAACTCTGCTCTGCTGCGAACCTGAGCCCCGTCATGTTAACACTCTGAGGCTGAGAGGGAGCGTGCACGCACAAACACAAATCATAAGTCACACCGCCACGCCGACACCTCCATGGCTTCATCACAGATCGGATCTGTTGAGAATGAAGCCCTAATAGTCCTCTCAACATAAAGTCTGTCCAGACGAGACAAAACAAAGCAGATGACTTTAGTTAAACTGAGTCGGACCAACTGCGACTTCACAAGATGATTATCAATTACAAGTATGAGCTAATGTTCGCCCAGCTTTAATTAACATCCTTCTACAAGCAAAACCAGATTGTGCCATTTAGTTTGCGAGCAGATAAGTAAACCGCTGCAGTGCGAAAACATTCATCGCATAATAATATTCACAAGGCGGGTCATGAATTATTATTTGGGGATTCTAAAAACTGGAGAGGCAGAAATCACAAGTGATGAACAAAAATAAAAAAAAGATAGGACTGCAAGCATCGCCAGCAGCTAGAAAGCATATTTTATCTCAGAATCAGGACAGCACAATGGACTAAAGTTGTACATTTAATTCTACATTCCTTTATTTAACAACAAAAATGTAACACTTTAGGAGGTAATTTGAGAATATATGATTAGTGACCAGCCCATTTGTTAGTGAAATTTTTTTTTTTGGCATGAAGACCAACATGTCACTTCGTATTTGAAGAGATTTCTCACATTTTTATTGGAGGGTAAAGTGACAAAATCAGAATTTTGGCACGTTAAATGAACTCTTGAAGCTCTGACAACTCTCAGAATGGTTTCATGGCTGATGGGTCAATTTCAGCACATTCATCTAAATCTACTCGTGACGTTTCTGGCCTCACTCCCACCCACTTGTATTTGTTCTTCCTGAACAAGAATGGAAACGAAACGCTCATATTTTTCTAAGAACACACTGCGGCCAAACAAATGGAGATGTATAATAAAAACCAGGCTGGTAGCAGGTCCGTTCATTGGTTTGGAGAGGTGCATGACCCTGGGATACTGGCACCAGGTTGTTTTCTGGTCTCTGCAGAGGGTTAGTGTTTAACTATGAACAAAGGTTCTTCAGACTGGGAGCTTGTATCAAGTCAAGGTCAGTTGTCAGCCCAAACAAACTGGAACCAAAGGGAACAAGAAAATCCTAGACTAATATTAGCCTGATTTGATAAAAAAATATATATGTTTCTTAAACTTTCTAATCTTTAAAAACATATTGGACTGTTTCTCTTAAATGACACTTCTGCCATGTGAGTTGAACTGCTTGATGCATAATCTATATAAAGCTGTTTAAAAGCCGTTTTAGCTTTTCCCATAATAGAAGGGAAAAAATACTTTGTTGCCAAAAGAAACAGAACAGACATGAATCACGACGACCTCCTGCTGAGAAAGCAGAG